GGTGGTTAAGGCAGGAGGATTGCCGTGAGTTCAAGGTCAGCCAGAACTACAGTGAGACCCAGTCTCCAAAAAGAAAAAAGACATTTCAAAAAGCTTTTTATTCTTAAACTTTACTGCTGTATGTATTTGGGTTTTTCTTCATTATGCATATATCTTAACGTTAATAAAGCAAAACTCACCGTTGTCCCTCTTCTATGTTTACCGTCAGGCTTTTCATCATTCATGTTTGATAGTGCCAGCTTTGATCCCTTCTCTTATTCTAAGTCCATTTTATTCTAAGAACTGTGGTTTTCTCTTCACCTTCCCAGTCCCACCCACTCTACTGTATTTATTTATTTATTTTTTATGTAGTACAGGGTCTACGGGGTCTCACTACACAGATTGGACTCGTAGTGATCTTCCTGTTTTCAGCCTAACAAGTGCTGGGATTACAGGTGTGCACCACCATGCCCAGTCTCAATCGCCATCTCAGCACATCCCCAGGGGTGAGGCCAGCATGGCATGCTGGGGATCAAACCCCGGTCCCTGCATCTGTATAAACAGGCACTTTAATCTGCTGAGCTATCTGGCTGGCCTGACCCACTCTACTTTAAACCTTGATGACTTGTCACTCGGTTTAAGTATCTTGTAGTAATTTAGACCCCTGTCTCTTAAAATATAGTGTTTATTGTGTTACTTACTTTTTCATAAAATTTCTGTGTTACCCTGTAGAGACTGTGAAGTAATCCACTCAAAGCTCTTACCTTCCAGAGGGACTATTGAGGTGCAGGGGAAACATTATTGTGTTTGTGCCATGAAGGCCGTATAGGTGCTAGGGAACAGCACCTCAAGACTGGACTTCTTCTGTGCTCACTCACCGGCTGGCTCATCCCACTGTTGAAGCATACCCCCTGTGAGTCCTGAGGCTGGGCCAGGTTTGGCCCTTCTCTATTCCTGCCTACCGTATTTTCATCTCCTCTTGTACCTAGGGTCTAACTTTATGATGGTGAACCTTTTAGAGCCTTCATTGATACAAACAACCTGCTGTGGCACACATGCCACAGGTTTGCCACCACTGAACTCAGTTCCTAAAGGTACTAATACTGTGCCTCCTATCTCAGATGCGCTTTCTTCTTCCTGCCCTTACTTTGAAATTCTTTGTGTACTGTAAATCCCAAATCAGTCAAATGCCATGTCTTTTCTCTCCTACCAAGCCAAAAAATCCTGTCCTCCTAGAGCATGTGTTGCATCTAACCACGTTCTGTTTTATGCTATAAAAATTCATGTGTATGTTAGTGAGGTCGGTAGATTATGGACCTTATTTGGGCCATGATTTCTTCACATAACTTTGTAGGGTGGGAACCACTCATTCTTTAAGTATAAGGTATGTTTCTCTCTACACTATAAGGTACATGTCTGACTTCTGATCGATCGATCTTTCTTTCTTTCTTTCTTTCTTTCTTTCTTTCTTTCTTTCTTTCTTTAATGTAGTAGTTGGTACATGGTCTCACTAGGCAGCTCAGACTCGTAGTGACCTTGTTTTCAGCCTCCCCAGTGCTGGAATTACAGGTGTGCACCACTGTGCCTGGTCTCAGTGGCCTGCTTAGTGTATCTGGGGGATGGGGCTGGCATGGCATGTGGGGCCAGGATTGAACCCTGGTCCCTGCGCTTGCCTAGGCAAGCACTTATGCTGCTGAGCTATCTTACCAGCCCTCTTTCTTAATTTTTCTGGCCAAGAGTAATCAAAAGCATGGACATAGACTTGAGAGTTAATTCTCTTTACTTTATCATGCTTAGCCAGTCCCTGAAATAAAAGTCAATGCTTTTCCATTTTTTGAGATGATGTCTCATAAGGTTGCCCAAGCTGATCTTGAACTCACTATGTGACCCAGGCTGGGCTCAAACTCATGGCAGTCCTCCTGCCTCAGCCTCAAAAATGCTGGGACTTCAGGTGTGCACCACTATGCCCAGCCTTCCCAGGCTGGTTTTGAACTCCCCTACTTCCACCTCCCAGGAAATTGATTCCAGGCACACCTGGCTCTGCAGACTTTTTTGTTTTGTTTTGTTTTTACAGATGGGCTCTCACTACATAGTTCAGGCTGGCCTTCAACTCACTTCGTAGCCCAGACTGTTCTCAAACTTGCAGCGATCCTCCTGTCCCATTACAAGGGTGTACCACCATACCTGTTTATGTACACATTTAAAAATATATCTTATGTATTTTTTTTCATTTTGTCCAGAATTGGTCATTGTAGGGGAACTGACAGCATGTTTATGCATACATATTAGAAGCATAAATTTGCCAAATAACGTCTTAAAATATTGGTCAGCATTTCCTAAATTTGGCTTGAAGGGTCACTATTAAAGAGTTAAAGGAAAAAAAAAAAAAGAAGAAAAGTGTCACTACTATGATTTTACATGATTAAGTTAAACTCAATTGTTTGTTCCTTCTATGTCTTTTTTGTTTGTTTTGTTTTGTTTTTTGAGATAGGGTCTCACTATACTGTCCAGGCTGGCCTTGAACTTTCAGTGACCCTCCTGCCTCAGCCTCCTGAGTGCTAGGATTATAATCATGCAGCACCATGTTTGGCTCCATGTCTTTTTCTTGTTCGAGAAAAGGCGTTCAGGGTTTGATAAGTCAGTTATAAACCAGAAAGCAGATACACAAATAGGTATTATAATGGTATTTGGTACATTTAGTTTTATTTCAAAGAATATGAGTATAAAGGCTATTTTGTCCAGAAAGAAGTGTGTGTGTGTGTGTGTGTGTATTTTTTAAAGCAGATGTGGTGGCACATGCCTGTAATCCCAGCACTTAGGAGGCTGAGGCAGGAGTTTTGCCTGAAGTTGAAACCAGTCTGGAATACATATTGAGTCTATTCACAAAAACAAAATAGGAGTGGTATGGTGGCACAAGCCTGTAATCCTAGCACTCCCAGGGCTGAAGTAGGAAGAGCACAAGTTCGAACCCAACCTGGGTAATTTAACAATGTAGGTCCTGTTTCCAAAAAAGACCTGGAGATACAGCTCAATATAAAGGTTCTGGGCTCAATCCCCAGTACCACCAACAACCTTTAAACCCTGAACCAAAAAAAGCAATGATAAAAAAAAAAAAAACCCTATCATTCATTGTCTACTTATTCTGGATCAATGTTATTTCTTCATTTCTTCTATACCATTTTATTCCTCATAAGAATATCATTATTATGGATAAGATATCTGCGTTTTAGGAAAGATACTGCTTTTGGTGGCAAGGCCAAGGCACCTGTTTGTGCTTATCCGGCTCTAATGCCAGAGCTTCCCCTGTATCACCATGTACTATGCTGCTTTCCAACATGGAAACTAAAATGAATCAACAAAAATTTTTAAAAGCTAATCCAGGCATGATGGCACACACTTGGAATCTGAGCACTTGGGAGGCTGAGGCAGGAAGATAGCCGTGAATTCCAGATCAGCCTGGGCTATATAACGAGACCCTGTCTCAAAAAAAAAAAAAAAAAAAAAAAAACGAAAAACATTTTAAAGATATTATTTTCAGACAAGGTTATCAGAACAATAAGGTAGTACATGTGGAAAAGCAGCATGGTCTCCAGGGTTCCCTGTCACCTGCTTTGCATCACAGGATGTCACTGTGACTGGCTGCACCTGGGGCCAGTGCAGCAGGACAGTGTTCTACTGTTGCCAAGGTGTTTGGACTGGAAGCCAGTGAGTAGCACTCCGCCCAAGCAGTTAATGCTCTGCGGTTGAGAAGCTGTAGTCCACGCTTCAATTTATATTTTTTTGCTCTTCAAATAAGGAAACTATTGACTGAATTCTAATTTCACCTCTTTTGGACAAAGGTTGGAACTTCTTTTGATAATGACTGAGGCAAAACCCCAAACAATACAGGGTGGGGACTGGATGATGTCAAGAATATGGCATTACGTGTTCTTCAGGGTGAAGGGATAGAAGCTTTATCCCGAGTTTAGAGTACATTTTACTTTACTACTTGTTAAAAAGCTTTACAAGCCAGGCGTGGTGGAATGCACCGGTGATCCCAGCACTCGAGAAGCTGAGGCAGAAAGATCTTCGCAAGTCTGAGGTCAGCCTGAGCTATAAAATGAGCTCCAGGCCAGCCTGAACTGCATAGTAAGACCTGTCTCAAAAAACCAAGCTTTACAATAATAAGATTTACAATAAGAATCCATAATATATATCACACTTTTTAAAGTAATTTATCATATTTAAAATTCTGGCTATACTGCCATAAGATGACTTCTATGTTACATATATTATCTCCCTAAATCTATGCTAAAACCTTAGAAAGTGAAATATATTGTCTTCATTTTTCAGCTAAACAGACTAAAACTGAAAGATTAGATAATTTTTCCTTCAGTCTTGCCCCTACTAGGCAAGTACACTGAGCTCCATCCCCAACCCCAAGATTGTGTAAGTTGTTCAAGGTTACCAAAGTTATGATCTTATTGAAGTCTGCTTGCCCTGAAAGCCCCTTTCTTTTAAGTCACCACATAGTGTCCCCAGCCTCTTCCCTGACATGGAGTGGCCTGTGTGAGGCTGGCACGAGAGGGGGAATCAGGCCACTTGGATGTCCCTGGAGCCTCACTTGGACTCAGCTCTACCCAGATGCCAATGGTACCTCCCTTGGGGTGTAATTCAGAAAAGGAGAATATTTCACTCTAAACGTGTTTTTGGAACAAACTTAAGTTCAGGGAAAGGCCAGCTGATACTTGTACAGTGAAGTCAGTCATAAAAAGATGGAACTGGAAAGGACCTTAAAGGTCATCCAGGAAACATCGATCTAAAGATACTGAATCATTTGACCAATGTCCGCTGCTTTAGGGAGAGACCAGCGGAGGAATGTGGTTTGTTAGTTTGAGCTTTCTACTCTCGCTTCCCCCACATCACTGCTCATCTTTGAATGCTGGACAATTCTTCCTTGTGTCTCATGGTCTGACTTTCTTTATTGCAGAGGTTTTTCCATATCTGTGAGACAAAAATGGAATCGGCTCCATTTAACAGACGACAGTGGACTTCCCTCTCACTAAGGGTAACAGCCAAAGAACTTTCTCTCGTCAACAAGAACAAATCATCAGCTATTGTGGAAATATTCTCCAAGTAAGTGGCAATCCTGGTCCAGAGCACCATCTGTCTTGAGTGCATATCACCACCTGTCAGGGAAACTGGCAAAGAGCATGTGTGGTGTTAAATGCCTTTCCTGAGAACCCCCTGCATTTTAAGCAGCCAACAGGGAGTCATCCAGAAGGGTGCTAACCAGAGGAGACATTCTCTGTCTTGGAATTTTTAATTGGGAGAAATAAAAGGCTCAAAAACATAATAAAACACAATTATGAAGTAAAATGTCATCAAAGCTAAAATGAATAGGCATGAGGACTATAGATAGAATAAGAGAGAAGATGACCATTATAGACAGACAGGGACTGGGAAAACCTCCTGGTTGAGATGGATTTAAATCACACTTGAAATTCAGTGTATCAGCTACACTTGTCACATTTGAAGTCCCCACTCACTACTTATCACTGTAATCTAGTATACTGAGGAGCACAAAAAACGCTTCATCACTGCAAGACATTCTGCTGCACTTTGCAGCCAGGCGGGCACACCGCAGCCCCGGCTGTCTGCCAAGTGAGCGTGCAGTAGAGTGAGGCTCCCACCACCTAGAGATGGTCTGCAGCCGAGTTCCTTTTTGCAACAGAGCGTATCACCCTCAAAGTCTAAATATGAGGCTGGAGAGATGGCTCAGTGGTCTAAAGCACCTACTTGGAACAAGCTTAGCAAAGCACAGGGACCACGGTTCAATTCCCCAGCACCACATGCCAGCCAGCCCTGGCTGAGCTGGCCACACACACACACACACACACACACACACTGAATAAATAAATAAAAAATTTTTAAAAAAGTCTAAATATGTCTATTGGGCCCTGTAATACAAGACTGAGTGGCTCCTCCTTGGGACCCTCGAAGCAGGAGACTGGTGCACACACAGCATTCCACACATGTTGAAGAGTTGGCCTGTGTGCATAACAGGGCAGAGGTGCCAACTAGAGGTACCGCAGCCGAGGAGCCCAGGGCAGCTGAGAGGCTGCCTCGGTAGGAAGCTTGTTCATTCATAGAAGCTGGCTGCACAGCTCCGAGCAGAAATGATAAAGATTTGATGAAAGGGACTCTTGGAGCAATATCCAGAATACAGCGCAATGCTAGTAGGAGGCTTCTGTAATCGACTCTGTCACCTTTTCTTCAGCATCAGGTCCCATTGGGCCCTGCTGTGGGGACAGTGCTGCCCTTCCAAAGCACTGAGCTCAGCCATCACCTCAGATGATAAGGAGATGGCGGCAAGACCATGGAGGCCTTTTTTTCTTTTTTTAAAACAACTGGTTTTATGTATGCATATTTTTCTTTCTAAGCATATAAAGTTTACATTGCTAAACCACATGAATATATGTCTTTTTCATTACACCATTATTGTTACATTGTAATTTTCATGTAATTAAAAATAATACATAACCAGGTATGCTAGAGTTCTATTGAATTTTAACATTCTATGAGTGTTGAAATTTATTTATTTATTTTTGTCTTTTTGAGACAGGGTCTCACAATACAGTTCAGGCTGGCCTTGAACTCACTTTGTAGCCCAAGATGGCCTCAAACTCCCAGTGATCCTCCTGCCTCAGCCTCCCAAGTACAGGGATTATAGGTGTGTGCCACCATGCCCAGCTGATGGTTATGGGGGGTGGGGGGAGAGAATGAGAAGAGAATGAGAATGTGTGTGTATGTGTGTGTGTGTGTGTGTGTGTGTACACATCTGTCATTTTGGGTTTTTTGAGACAGGGTCTTGCTATAGAGTCTAGGCCTTGAACTAACTCATTAGGTAGTCCAGGCCTCAAACTCATGGCAATCCCACTGCCTCAGCCTCCTGTATGCTGGGATTATAGGCATGTGCCAGCACTCCTGGATAATCACTGGAAATTTTTGTGCTCCTAATTTTTCATTAAAATGAATAACCTATTTTGTGAATTTTCCCTGTAAATAACTAAAAAGCCTAGCTAGTTAAAAGTCAGAACATTTTTATAATATAGATTTCTACGCTCCAAAGGAGTGATACTATTTTATACTGATATTGGGGGTGTATGAGTAGGAATAGATTTTTCAGGTAAGATTTTACCACAACCTTATCAACATTAATATTACAATTTAATTTTTTAATTTTTTAAAAATATATTTGGTTGTTGCAGGGTCTCACTACACAGCTCAGACTCATAGTGATCCTCCTGCTTTCAGCCGCTACACCCAGACTCTGGCTGGCTCAGCCTGTCCTGGGAGCGGGGCTGCTGTCTGTCAAGTAAGCGTGCAGTAGAGTGAAGCTCCTGCCACCTAGAGATGGTCTGCAGCCGAGTTCCTGGTTGCAACAGAGCGTATCACCCTCAAAGCTACGCCCAGACTCTGGCTGGCTCAGCCTGTCCTGGGAGCGGGGCTGCTGCAGCCTGTGGTGCCAGGGATCTAACTTCGGTCCCTGCGCTTGCCTAAGCTTGCCTAAGAAGGTGCTTTAGTCTGCTGAGCTATCTCATCAGGCCCAATGTTACATTTTCATAGTTTTAACTTTTTTTAAATTTATGTACATGTTCGTAGGACATATGCTTACATTCCTTGTGGGGAGCTGGTATAGGTACATAATACATTTTAATTTTTTCTTATCCCCTGCCCTTCCCCACCCTCCCTGTTCCTTCCAAGTTTTAGTTCTCTTCCCATTTGCAAAAGCTCCATTTTCACCATCTTTCTTTCTTTTTCCATCTCATTTTTCCTCTGCATTTCTTATTCTCCCATCCATTTGAAAAAGATCTGAGGGCCAGCCAGATAGCTCAGCGGATTAAAGCACCAGCTTAGGCAGAGCGCAGCCACTGGGGTTTGATCCCATGCGAGCCCTATTCCTGGGGGCACGCTGAGACAGTGACTGAGGTGGTATGGTAATGCAGTTCTGTAATCCCAGCCCTTGGGAGGCTGAACACAGGAGAATCACTATGAGTCTAATCTACGTAGTGAGACCCTGTAGTCCCTGTACTAAAATACAAAAAAACAAAAAACGAAAAAAAAAGTTAAAAAAAAAAGATCTGTCACTTCCTGTTTTTCTTCTATTCTCTCTCTGTATATACATAGTTTTTCTGTGTATTTTTTCTATATGTATAGTTTTTAAAACATAAAAGTATGCCATACTTGGTGTGTCCAACTTACTTCACTTACCATTATGTTCTCAAGTTGCACCCTTGCTTACAAATGCTTCAGGATTATCCTTCATGGCAGAATAGTGCTCCATTGTGCATAAATGCTACATTTTCTTTATTTTTCATTTTCTTTCTCTTTCTCTTTTTCTTTTCTCTCTCCTTGTTTTGAGACAGGGTTTCACTATGCAGTTTAGGCTGGCCTCACGTTTGCAGTGCTCTTCCTGCCTCAGCCTCCCAAGTGTTGGGATTAGAGGCATGTATCACCACACCTGGCCTCCACACTGATCTTTATGGTGGTTGTACTAATTACATTCCCATAAAGTGTGGAAGAATTCTTTTTTCCCACTCATTGCATTGTTTTAATTTCTGTCCCATTGAATCAGTTGTAACTTAGTATCTATACATAAATACTTATGCATCCTCTCCAAACCCAGCAATAAAATGAAAACAATGATCATTTTAAAAGGATAACTCTTAATCAAAGAGAATGTAAGAAAGGTTGTCAATAGACACAATTTTAGAAGCAAGAGAAACTGTTAGCATTTAAAAAAAAAAAA